GTGTATTTTACCACAATAAAAAAAAAAAAATTGACAAAAGAATAGGGCGTCAAATACCATGAGTATTTTTGCTTAGGATGAAGCTGTGTGGTATCTAAACTAAACATCCGTATGGTGGACACAGTAGAGGAAGGTGGGAAACACTAACCTCGTCTGTTCTGAGCTCAGACTGGAGGTGCCGCAGTCCCACCATCCTCAGCTTGCCCCACATTGCAGCCCCACCATTACCCAACCCTGATTTACATTTCTGCTCCACAGTATCTGGTCTGTTGCAGTCCAGGAGGACTAAATCCAGAACCTCTTGGAATCTGCACATGCCTGGTAGCATCAGGGGGGTTGAAATTCTGAATCCTGACATTCACAAAATCCCGGGTATAACTTTGGCTCTAGCCCTGTTGGCCTCTCCACTGGGCTGCGAGCACCTCTGGCAGGGTCCTTCTCAGTATCCTCCTGCAGTGGGGCAGGAGTTCTGGGGCACAAGTGTGCTGGGTAGGTACCAGGGACCCAGAGAAATGCAGTCAGTTCTGTGCTGTGCTCCTTCCTGCTGGAAGCTGAGCAGACCCCCACCTTACCATATGACACCCCCAGACAGGCCTCGCTTGGTTATGACTCTGTGACTCTCTGTGCCTGGAGTTCCTTCTCCACACAGCCTAGGCTCCCATTGGCCTGAGAGCTGTGCTCCCTCTGTATACTACTCCAGCCCACCCCGAGATAGAGTCTCACTTCGTTGCCCTGGGTAGAGTGCCATGGTGCCATAGCTCACAGCAACCGCGATGTCTTGGGCTCAATCAATCCTCTTCCCTCAGTGTCCCAAGTAGCAGGGCCTACAAGTACCCACCACAGCACCCAGCTAGTTTTTTTTTTTTCTATTTTTAGTACAGATGGGGTCTTGCTCTTGCTCAGGCTGGTCTCTAACTTCTGAGCTCCTGCCTCAGCTTCCCAGACTGCTAGGATTACAGGCATGAGCCACCATGCCTGGCCCGCTCCGTGTACCTTCATGCCCAGAGCTATTATATATATTAGATGCACACAATGGTGTCCATGGCCCTCTGGGAGCCTGTTCCCAACTCTGACATTGGCTGGCAAGGGCCCTTGGGCAAGTCCCCTTCTATGGGACATTTCTCAAACCCTGTTGTGCAGAACATTCCATAGATCTTGGGGGCAGAAAGCCTCCCAAGTTCAAATCAGCCTCCCAAGTTCAAATCAGCTTGGGTCTTCATACTGTTTTTCAACATGTATTAAGCTTCTGATGCTCAAGATGGCAATAATAATACTATTAAATAACTGACATTTATCAAGGGCTTACTATATGCCAAGTGCTACAGTCCAGGTTTTACGTGTAATTTTTTTTATTTAATGCTCTCAACACCTAAGGTTTATTGAGATGAAAGGAACTTGCCCATGATCTGGCCTTTCTGGGAGAAACCATGGGGAGAGGATAAAGATGAAAAGATATTGGTACTTGACTTGGAGGCAGTGCTTCCTAAACTTTAAAGGGCACGTGTATCACCTGGGGACATTGCTCAAAGGCAGATTTTAACTCAGTAGGTAAGGGCTGAGATTTCCCGGTCCACATACCAGGCAAGGGGTGGGGGGAGACATTAGAGCATCTGTATTTTTTCTTCTCTAGCTGGAGTAAATTCATTTATTCATCCATTCACTCGCTCACTCGCTGTAGAAGCGGTCTAGTAGCAGAGAACACAAGCTATGACATTTGGAACCAGCTTTACCCAATCCATGTTCTGCATTTTCCTAAATGGATAAATTTGCTGAGTCTCAGGTGCCTGTCTGTATAATGGGAATGAAACCCACATTTCATAGCATCTTTGAGAATCTCAAATGCAATAAAATGTGGCAACAGTCTGCCCCAGGGCCCAGGGCAAGGTGCACGGTTTACATTATTGCTTATTTATTTATTCATTTCAACTGGGATTCCCAAATGGTTTCCATTAAATTTATTTCAAGGTTTATTTATTCATTTGTTCCTTGCATATTTTAGCAAAGATTTCCCAATGACTTCAATAGTTGCAGCGTGGGCCCCTGGTTACCATCCGGAAAGAGAAGAGCCAGCACAGACTAACAGACATGATTCCTAATCATTTTCAGCAAAAGGTGGAAGAAAATTGATGAAGAGGCAGGCACCAGTGATGAACTGTGAGAGCCATTTGGCAAATGAGCCCTTCGGAAAGGGAGAGTGAGAAATGTGTGTGATGGGGGGATGGGGGAGGGGAAAACTGGAATGGGGTAAAATGTCAACAGATCGCAAGCTGTTAATTATCTGGAGAGAACTAAATATTATGTAGGCAATTATCGACAGGCATCTGAAAGCAACAATAGGAAAACTTGGCCCCCAGCCGAATTCATTCCATCTCGCTTTGGAGAAGGGCCGGGAGAAGGGCTTTAGCATTCAAAACAAGCATTTTACTCTGAGGGAGAGTGAGGGGCCCAGGCCCCACCCCCACCCTCAGAGGGGGCCAGGCAGGGGTCCCCTCCCTCCACCCCCGTACAATTCAGCAAGATCCCTGCCCAAGCAGACAGGCAGTGCTTGCCTTTGAAAGAAGGCTTTACTCACCAGCTCCGGACCTAGAAACCTCGGCCCCCTCCTCCCCCCAAGATGTCATCTTTTGAGATGATTTCATGTGGAAGCATCGCTAAGTAAATTCGCTAAATGCCTATTCATCCCTGTCAGATGGGGACTCGGTGAAGCGGCAAATGTGAAAATGGCCCCAGCTCACAGCCCTGAAAGGCGCTTTCTGGGGTTGCCAAATGGAGCTGCAGCCGCTGACCCTGGGAGGCCCCAGGCTTCTCGAGAGGGGGCCCAGGATCCCGGGCCGGCCCCTTCAGTCCTCCCACTAAGGCCGCCTGCGAGGCCCTGTTTATTATTCCTACTGCCAGAAACCCATTCAGAGGTTAACTTGTCCCTTATTCATCAGGACACAATAATGAACTGTCGCAGAGAGTGGCGAGGGGCTTGGTAAATAAGAGCTGCTAAGACGTGGAGAAGGAATGGGCCTCTTTATGGCTGGGAAAGAGACATTGCTTTAATTTTTTTTCATAGGCTGATTCAGTTTCCACCTCTCCCAGAGCCTTAAAGAGGCTCCCTCCCCAATAGCTACAGGTACCTTGGTGGAGGCATCAGTGGGCCCTACCCATCCGCACAGGAGATGCCCCACCACTCATACATGTGGGGTTAGCCTTTAGTGAATGTCCCTGGGGTTCACCTCTGTGCACGTCAGCAGGGCTGAGCTCTGTGTGTGTGTGTGTGTGTGTGTGTGTGTGCGGTGATCAGCCTCACTGCAGACACACTGCGTTTCTCTGGTGCCTGCCACCGCCAGCAGGGCTGGCTTTGAATGGTGTTTATTTCAGTAATAAGCTGGGATATCAGCAGTGCTCATTTTCGCTGCAGCATCTCGTAACTGCCATTGCCCCCTCCCCTGGAAGCATGAGTTGGTCAACATGAATCATCCGTAAGAGAGCAGGAGCTTGCAGGCGAGACTGCAGAGTCCAAGGGACATAGAGGGCTAGATAGTAGGGAGGCAGAAGGTGCAGGGCATCGTGCATTGATTGTGCACCTACTGTGTGCCCTTTAAATCCACACAGTTGTCCACTCAGCATGCACGTGCAGTGGGCCCACTACATGCTGGGCATGTTTCATTCTCAACCCAGGTGAGTTCAGAGAAGACCACTGTTCACTGAAGTTAGATGACTTATCCTGTGGACACACAGCTGGCTTAGTCATGGAGCTGGGATTTATCCCCAGACTCTCCTGCTTTTAGAGCCCATGGATTGCTTTCTAAGGCACTGTCCTCCTCCTCAAAAGTGTAGCCTCCCTTATATTCCCAGAGATATTTTTCCTTTCCACTGCCTTCAACTGTTTTTCCTCATCTGAAACAATGTTTAACCCTTTCCTTCGAAGTGAAGATTCCTGAGCAGAGAAACCTCATGATAAAGGAGCTGTCACATCAGTGCCATTTACCTGTTTGGGTTTATTCAGTGGAAGAGGCGACTGTGTTTCTGGCAGATGGAGACCCATGTGACTGCTTTTTAAAATACTGTCACAGCTGTATGCACAAGCTGATTAGCTGTGACTACACTGCTAGTGCCGAGATTGATGGCGATAAATTTGGGATAACAATGCCGGGAACGATGTCATTCATTTGTATTGCACTTCATATTTTTTAAATCTCTCTCAGTCAGTAGCCCAGTGGTTATCAAGAACTTGGCTTTTATCCATTCATCAATGCAATCAACATTCCAAGTCCATTTGAAGGAGTCAGTTCAGACTCGATTCACTTTGAGTCTTCCATTCATTCCTTCATTCAACCAACATTAGTGTAACTCCTACTGTGTGCCAGGGATGAACAGATCTGACCAAGTTCTGTCCTCGGAGAGCTTACGTTCTGATGTAAGCAAGTTCGGTGGTTTTTGATGGTGAGAAGATAGTGAAATAAACAAGGGTTGTAAGATAAAGGTGAGGAGAGAGGAAGAGGCAGATGCTACTTTAGGTTAAGTAGCCAGAAGTGTCCTCTTTGAAGAGGTAACATGTGAAAGGTGATCTGGGTGACAAGAGCAAGCCAGCAAAGGGAAGATACAAGGTAAAACTTTCCCAGGCTCAGCACGTGCAAAGGCCCTGTGGTTGCTGTGGATTTGGCACTGAGCTGCACACTGAGGACTTACTGTTTGCAAAGCCCAATGCTGGGCATTGGAGATTCTAAAACAAGTAAGATGCTTTGTTTGTCCTTAGAGATTTCCCAGTGTCATGAAGTAGATAAAAGAGAATGCACAGACAGCCTACTTTAATGCACCATGGTAGATAGAGGGATGGTGACACACAAAGAGGATGCCTTAACTGCTCATGTGCCAGTGGTCAGGGAAGGCAATTCAAGCAGAACAGTACAAAGAATGAAACCTGCTTTCTGTGACAAAGAAAGAAACCAAGACCCAAAGCGCTCCATGGTCTCTGGAAGACCTCTGACTTTTTTCTCGGTTTGTTTCCACAGGACAAATGACCAGCTGGTGGCATTTCTCTCCCGATACCGAGATATGAATTTCTTGAAGTCACACGGCCGGGACAATGCAAGGTAGCACAACATCGCCCTTTCCCCCGTGCAAAATGGAAATGAAAATCAAAGGGATAATTTGGGGGGCCTTTTTTCTAGGTTTGTTTGGTGCGAAACCAGAAAGAACTTGAAAACGGGAGAAAGGCATAACGCAAGAACACGTTGCCAGTGTCGGTCACTTCCGTGTAGAATCTGAAATAGTCCGTCCCGTCAGCTAAGGAGAAAGATAATTGTAAATGTTTCTCACAGTGCTGCAGCCCTTAGAGGAGGGCAGCCACTGTGAATTCCCACTTATAGGTGGGAAAGTTGAGGTCCACAGTTTTAAGTCATGTGCCTAGATCATGCATTCAGTCAGCCATTCTACAAATATTTGCCAAGTGCTGAGCTTACCCCAGGCACTGTCCTAGTGGTGAACAAGACAAAGTCCTTACATGCATGGACTTTAGTGGAAAAGAGTCTCCTGGAGTTGAACCTAGGGGTTGTCAGTCAGAGGCCTGTGTCTCTTCCACAGCCCGTATCTATTATAGCTCTCTCATTTAAAATGAGCAGTATCAAAAAACAGCATCTCTGCAGTCCAGTGTTGAACTGAACCTAACTCTCTGTGGCCAGAGATCAGCTAGAAGGCGCACAGTCTGGAGCGCCCCCTGTAGGCAACACCATCCCAACGTGCAACGTCATTAAGAACCAGCCTAGGATGACTGTGACGCCCTGGGATGTTTTCCGGCTGCAAACGCAGGGCATAACCTGCCAGCGCATGGGCTAATGTTAGTTTGTCAGTGTGCTTTGGCCCTCATGGTGTTTTATTCTGTTTTAATCCAAATGCTTCATGTGAAAATTAATAGTCCGATTTAAAAACAGCGACATATCCGATGAAAAATCCAGATTTCTAGGTAATCTTGAAAAATCTGAAGGTCTGTTAACTCTGTGCCTGAATTGGTTTTTTTGAGACAGAGTCTCTTTTTGGTAACCTGGTGCTGTGGCATCATAGCTCACAGCAACCTCAAACTATTGGGCTAAACCCATCCTCCTGCCTTAACCTCCCAAGTAGCTGAGACTACCAGTGCCCACCACAACACCCAGATAGTTTTTCTATTGGACAGGGTCTCATTCTCACTCAGGCTGGTCTCAAACTCCTGAGCTCAAGTGATCCTCCCACCTGAGCCTCCCAGAGTGCTAGGATTATAGGCTGGAGCCACTGCGCCCAGCTGCCATCCCTCAACATTTTTATGGCAGTTATTTCCTGGATCTTAGGTGGCTGTGGCCCTCAATTCTTCCCCTTCCTGACCGGCCACCTGCAGCATCTCAGTTTGCAGTCTCTGCTTTGGAGGTTCTTCCCCATTTCGGGTGGAGGTGGCGTCTTGGCTGGTTGGCTGTGCAACTCAGCTGACCCAGTTATCCATTGTAGGAGAGGCAGAAAAGCAAGGAGTGAGTTCCACTTCCTGAGCTCCCAAGAAGTAACCCCGGCATCCTTGTGTCAGATCATTTTCCTAAATTGTAACTTTGATTTTATTCAGCTGATTGTTTATAGATTGTTTCTGCCCTTCTCACAGCCTGCCTCCTTTACATTTAAAAAAGAGCCCAAGGACTTGAAGATGCTCTTTAAATCAGCACGGATTAGTATTACATGATCGGGCCACAAAGGATAGAGAGTCCTGGCTGGATAAACAAGAAAAATTAAAGGCACTTTGTGTTGTTTTCCTACTATGTTCCCATCACCTACCGGCCCCTTCTCATATGGGATCCAGTTTTATTCTCATAACTACTTAATACAGTAATAAAAATTATCATCCTCGGGGCAGTGCCTATGGCTCAAAGGAGTAGGGCACTGGCCCCATATGCTTGAGGTAGCAGGTTCAAACCCAGCCCCGGCCAAAAACTGCCAAAAAAAAAAATTATCATTCTCGTTTGTCAAAAGATGAAAAGGTGGTTTGGGGAGCCTACTTGATTTTTTTAGAGGTCACATAGCTGATTAAATGCTAGAATTTGAACCCAGGCCTTTCTGGCCCCATAGCCACAGAAATAGATGGGGCCAGGCCTGATTTCATGGGAGTGGTTAGTTAGCAGAAGTAGCCTAGATATTGGGCTTCCCTACCCTTTGGTAGAGAATAGAAACTGTTATTCTTCTCCAGGTAGCCTCTATTACATGATTTGTGCAAACAAAGTTGCATCATGAGGACGGAGTCCATTCTAAGCTTATCAGTTTGTGTCTGAATGACATCCACCCTAGTGTTCTTATTCCAGCCTAGTCAGTATTTATTACCTGGGTAAGCACTGAGCCAGGAACCGCATATAACACAGGTTAAAAGCAGGGGGTTTGAGGTTACACCTCCTGGGTTGGAATTCTGATCTACTATGTTCTGTGTTGAACAGGTGACTCCACCTCTCTGAGCCAATCCCCTGCCCTGTATAATGGAAATAATAGAGTTGCACTCACAGGGTCATTGGGAAGATTAAATGAAATGCTACATAGAAAGCATTTGGTATAGGAGATGCTTATGATGAGGGTGATGTCACTGCTGTGATTAGCAAAGAACTAAAATGCTGCTGATAGGAAAAAGAAATAGATGGTATGGAGGCCCCAAAACCCTAAAACCCAAAGGTCTCTGAACAGAATAGGTCCTAAGTTGTAACATTCATGCATGAGTCCCCAGCTGGGTCTCTCTTATTTACATGAAGGGCAGCAATTTAGTATTAATTTAGAAGAAAATGAGCTAACGTGCCATCATCTGCCACTCTCATCTCCTTGGTAGCTGTGGCCTCATCTGCTCCAGGAACGACCCTACCTACAGCCCCTCATCCATAGTCTCTCTCCAGGGCACAGAGCTGTGCATGGCGTGGCTCAGCTGGCCTCCCTGGTGGTGTATTAGAAAGAACTCTTTGGTGGTAAATGACAGAAACTCAGCTCAAATTTTCTTAAGGATAAAGATTATTATTATATCAGGTAACTAAAATCTTGGTATCGACTTCAGGTATGGCTGAATCAGGCAGTTCAAATGATACCATCCTGCCCAGACTCTGTACTACGTCTATTTTCCCGTGTGTTGACTTAATTTCCTGGCTCCAGGTGGTGACAACTGACAGTGTATTAGCCTCATTGACAGATAAAAAGACTGAGACCCAGAGAGATGGAGTAACTTGCTGAATTAAGCTCACAGCAATAGGGCAGGATGAGGACTTAAGCCCCAGGAAGTTGTCCACAGACTCCAAGCTAGCTCATCGTTCCTGCGTGATAAAGCCTCTCTGCGTTCCAGTCCTGCTTTCCTCTTACATGCTGGGCAATTTTGAGGCAGCCACTCTGCTTCTCTGTTCTTCACATCTCCCCCTTTGAAAGCACAGCAGTTGAACAAAATGGTCTGCAAAGGCCCTTCCTGTTCTGCTCCTCCAAGCTTCTGGACCAGCCTTTGCCCAAAAGGAGGTGACAGAGTCAGAGATCCTAAAAGACAGAGTTGAGGGGGGACAAAGCAATCAGGGAGACACAAAATAGGCCCCAGGGGGCCTCAGTTTTCAATTCTACCTGATTCCTAATAGCAATGTTGACCTTCTGTCTTCATCTGTAGCCTTTAGCAGCCAATTTGAACTTCCAGCCCCCACTGCGAAGAGGCAGCATAAAGGCAGACTAGTATTTTAATAGCTGCCAAATTGGTCCTGACTGTTCCTGTAATTAAATGAAGGGGAGAGTTGCTTCCACCGTTTCTCCTTGCCTTCCTCCAAAAATAAAGTAACTAAATGTATTGAAAGACATGCAGCGCAATCATCATTTTCCCAGACAGCCGCAGCAGGGCTCACAGAAGCAGGGGCCCTAACGTTTAGTCTCAACCTGAATAAATCAGTCTTTGGAAACATCCTCCACTCAGGGAGCATCAGAGAGGTTTTTCAGGTCTCTGCAGTCTGCTCAGGTCTCAGTGTATAAGGACAGGTCCCCAGAAGGGAGCCGGAAAGGCAGACTCCACTGTCTCATCTGGAATTGAGGTTCCTGTGGGATGTCTCCTGCCCTCTACCTCGGTTAAGGTCCCCAGGGCCCCAAGAGTTAGTCCTGGGATGTGGTACTGTGTAGTGCAGAAGCAAAGATGCTCCAGTCCAGCCACCTGGGTCGAAATGCCAGCTCTACCGTGTCACAGCCATGGGGTTTCAGCAAATACCTTTGGCCGTGTCCTCACCCCACCCCCACCCCCGTCTTCATAAAATCCAGATAAGGATGGTGGGATTGGGGAAATTGACTCTCCCCACTGACCACAGGCAGACACCAACCTGTGCCTTTCTCATTCCAGCCTCATTTTTCGGGTGTTACCCAATGTTGGAAATGAGAACACCTGAGGTTTGGAGACACTCAGAGGTTTTAAGTTACTCAGAGCCTCACAGCGAGTGAACCGCAGAGCTGGGACTGGACCCTGGTTCCTTCTGACTTGAACGCCTGTGTCTTTTCTCACCCCATGATTAGTGACTGCCTGTGGGAGGACGTATAGTTCTAAGTTCTTGGGATATAAAGTTTTAAGTGCTTGGGATATACAGCAAGAAGCTGTTCACTTTAAATAGAATTATATTTTACATGGGTGGGGTACAGGTCCCTCCCCTTCCTCCGAGAGTCAGCATTTCCCAAAGTGTGTTCGTGATCCACCAGTGATGTGTAAGGCTCCTCAGAGCCTTCATTGGTAAGCAGACTATGAAAGTTAGGTATCGGTCTTATGTGTATCAACAGACATGTATACATTATTGACCCATCTAACCCATGACTTAATGGATGTTATGCTTAGATTCAGGTTACGTTAGAAAACAGAAGAAGCTGCTTAAAGGTGACTTAGAGAAAAATATTAAGGGAGCGCAGAGACAGATGCTCCGTAAAGCACACAGCATAGCACAGTGCCAGCTCTGACACTCCCTGAGTGTGTGTGACCTGGGGTAACTTCCATCAATTACCTGTGTATCAGTTTTCTCGTCTGTAAAATGTGAGTGATGATAAGAATACCAACCTTGTAGAGGTGTTGCAAGCATTAAGTAAGTTAATATATGGATAATCTCTCGGA